GAGATTGCCTGACCTACATTGAATGACCTCAAGCAGCACGTGGTGAAGATGACTCTGGCAGGCACGCGAACACTGGATGAGACGCAAAGAGCACTTCGTCGGTTGTGAAACGGGAAATGTGCCTGTGACAACGGGATCCCACCTGAACTATTGAACCACGGCGGACCCGCGTTGGTAACTGCGCTGCAACTAGGTGCAACGCGTGTGGGTTGAGGAGGAGGTACCACATGAGCTGAAGGATGCCTTTGTGTTAGCACTGTGCAAGGGCAAAGGGTTGCAAGAATTATCGTGGCATGAGCTTGATGTGTTATGTGGGCAAGGTAGTTGCCCGAATCATGCTCAACCGTCCCGTCAGTCAGGTTGTGGAGCATAACGTGGAGGAAGGGCAATGTGGATTTCTTTAGGGTCGCAGCACAATATACATGGTGTTTGCGGCTCGTCAGTTGCAGGAGAAGTGTAGAGAACGATACCAGCCATTGTATTCGCTTTCTGTTGATTTCACCAAGGCAATTGATACGGTGAACCGTGGGACATTATGGCTGGTATTGGGTAAGTTTTGTTGTCCGAGTATGTTTGTAAGTTTACTTGGATGTCTGCACAGTGGTATGCGGCCGAGAGTTCAGCTAAGTGGACAGACTTCAGATGATTTCGCAGTTGTCTCTGGTCTGAAGTAAGGTTGTGTCTTAGTTACTGCCCTGTTTAACATCCATATTCACGCCATTATGTCTTGTGCTTTTGATGCGGCTTGTGCTTACGGTGTTCATGTGGAGCACCGTATTGATGGTGGGTTGCTGAACATTCGTCGTTAGGGTGAAAAAACCCTAGTCTATGGGACAACTGTCGGGATGTTGCTGTTTGTTGGCGACTATACGTTATTTGTGTATAGCGCTGATGAGTTGCAACACATGACTCGTGCACTGGCTTCGACAGCGGCCAAATTCGTGCTCACCACCAACACAAGCAAGACTGTTTGTCTCTTCCAGCCTTCAGCGGAAATGGAGCCCGTGGGCCTGCCTCAAAGCTAGATTGTCGAGGCAGTGGTGGAAACCACTTCGAGATTTTGTTACCTTGGTAGCGTAATAACAAACGACCAGCAGATGACGAGCGAGCTGCGCAGCCACCAACGAAGGTAACTTCTGCTTTTCGCAAGCTGGAATGTCGTGTGTGTAACAACCATCAGCTTACTGTTGGCACGAAGCTGGTGGTAGATAAGTCTATGGTGCTGTCCGTTCTTCTATACGGTAGCGAAACCTGGACGCTTAATCGGAAGGATGTCAGATATCTAGAGCGCTTCCATCAGCAGTGTCTACGCTGTATTATGCGTATCGTCTGGAGTGACCGAGTTGCAGACACGGAGGTGCTCCGACGCAGTGAACTGCATACTTCAGCTGAGGCACCTGTGGTGGCTCGGCCATATTCGCCGCATGGATTCGACCCGGATACCGAAACATTTACGTTATGACCAATTAGGCCCAGGGAAAGCGTACGTGGGAAAACCGGTTAAGATACCAGAACATGATCAAAGTGAGCCTATCACGTTCTAATGTTGACTGCAGGACATGGGAATCGAAGGCGGTTGACTGGCGTGCATAGTGCGATGTAATCATGAAGGCGGTTGCCGAGATGCAAGAGAAGGCCCTAGTGCATGCAAAGAAGAAGCGGTAAGTGCGGAAACGACCAGCGCCAATAGGTTGAACTCCATCAAATTCGGGCACACGGTGTTGTACCGCATGTGTCGCGGGTGCTTGAGTCAGGCAAGCCTATTGAGTCACGAGCGAGGCCACTCGGGTCCAGCATCAAAACGATGATGAGTCCAGTTGAGAACGTATGCAGAACTGGCGCAGTGTTAGCAGGCGTGGTTGTGCGTTGAGTTTCTTTGTTTCAGGTAGTAGCTTTGCTACCTTGTTTTAGCGTTATTTCGTTACCTCCTTTTTATGTGCACCTGTATAACCAATTACATTGCACTTTTTGCTTAAACTAAAGGTGGTTAACATCGCTTATGTTTTTTTCCTTCCTACAACTGTGTCCTGATCCCTTTTTCTGCCATCCTTAATCTATCACAGATATTGTGACAATCCATTTATTCTCGATGCCAATGTAGCGGCATATCCGTACAGTGTGTTCGATCTATTATATGCGACATTTCATTTCATTTGCTTGGCTGCTGCTTGACATCCCCAGTGTGGCTGCGTTTGATGTACATGTTGACAAGGTGCCTACCTGTATCTTACCCTCCACCTCAAGTACTAGCTCTAGGAGAGGGTTACTCTTTTTGGGGGATAGGGTGCACGCCCCTCGTGATTGTGCTAGGTTCAAAAAATAGTCCCATGCAACCAGCGTGGAGCAGGATATTGCCAAACCACCACATTGTGTACATGTGGCACGCATGATTCCCCAATTAGGCAGATAGGAGTGCGGGCTGCTGCTCTACATTTTGCAGGAGTGTGGGCTGCCTCCATAGAAGGAATGTCGCTCGTATCCACATGCCTCCCAGTCATATTTCTTCGGGTTTACACCGGATATGGATGTGTGGATGGAGTTGTGGGTGGTGCAGCGCAAGCCACCCATGGTCCCTTTGTAGGTGCAGACGTCTTGTGGCTGTCCTATTGAAGTTGCAATGACAATCAAATCTGAAGCCGGATGCAGCCCACCAGGTGTGTATGTAAACGTGCTGTTGCATTTGCGACTGTGTTCGTTTTCATCGGTATCGTAAGAAGGGATTATAGCAATATCTTGAAAGGGATATTAGATATACTGCTTCGGACAGACAAGGAGCATTGACACCAGTTAGTGGAGTGTCACAATTTCCACATCGCAAAGTTCTCAAACAGATATTTGTATATTTTTAATGGGGAGAATACTTGGCAGAAGCAAACTCACCAAGTATTGAAACAATGCCATTGAAACAATTTGCTGGAACATGGTAAACTCTGACCCACCCAGCTGGCAAAAAGGGTTGTTCGGGGAGCCAGAAAGTGCTGCGACATAGTTGTCATGTTGGCGCGTGGTTCTAAACATTTATACCAAGAGTTGACCAGAAATTGTCGAACCGACAAGAGTCAAGTAATCATACTTTACGAGTAGAAGCTCTTGGTGTGTTATATAAGTGGAATCATGCAAATGTCTCTCGCAGAATGATAAGTTTACAAACTGTGTTCTTGCTACAGCAGTCTGTAGCGGATCCAATGAAAACACGGTCCTATACCGCACGTCACTAAGTTCCAGCTACAGCAGATAAGAACTCTGTCTCTGAAACTGTTTGTTGGATTATAACCTGCTAATGGTCGTTCCCTTGACTTAGTTACTCATAGAACCAGTGCAGTGGCGGGGTCTCTTAATCGGCCGTTATCTTCTCTCGCCGAACATCTTTTTCTACATTATCTACTGTACATACCTCATTTTTGCATGATTAAGCTGAGAGAAATCTAGCTCAATCAAATTCATAAGTCACCGAGACCGTCTGATCCATGCACCTCTGATTATGAAACCTAGATTTCGCGGTCGATCCTCTATCTAATGCTTACGGACCAAATATTTGGCCTCAGTTGAAAAGAATTCTAAAGAAATGCTTTTATGAAAACTTTTGTACGGATACTTTTGTATGGATACAAATCCCGAAGATTTAGTACAGGATTTTGGGGTCGTTGCTCGTTCGACCCATGACAGTGCCTGTTTCTCAGCTTCCTACCCATTTGTAAACTTTTCCTCTTTAATAAATAAATAAATAGTTTATTCGCGAATTTGATAATTTTGCAGTCGATAAGCTAAAATGCTGATGATGCACTCAATTGGGTACATAAATCTGATATAGTATCAGGACACCGCCAGCTAAGCCGACGGCTTACTAAGTAACTTGTCAAAAGCCTTAGCCGGAACGATTATCCCAACTTATTATAATCACGTGATTTAGTGTCCAGTCACTAGTTCGGTCTAAAAACCTGTGTATTTTGAAAAAGTTATCAAAAGTAGAATGAGTTTAGAATATCCCACAGTCTATCTTCTCACGAAATGTGGGATAAGCAACAACGTACAACGATTGAGTTGCACAAAGGCTATTTGCTTTTGATTAGGTGGGTACAGTACAAAAAATATACTTGCACCGCGTCCGCTTGGGGCGAAAAATATTAATTCATATCGTAGGGTGGCGGAAGCAAGTGACTACTCATAAACCGGAACAACAACAACAAAAACGGGATTGGAGAGAATTAACAACGGGCGCAGTGGATAATACGATACAAGGCTCTGCGAGCGTTGCGGATCGAGCCGACAGCAGTTCACGGGCGGCATTTGGTAACGAGCCTGGGCTCAGAACAATGGATGAGGTATTTGCCGAGAACGCAATGAATCAGACAAATACGCCACTAGTGAAACCCCCAGGAGTGAACGCGGATCGAGTGATGCAGCCAAGGGAGAACAAATCGCGGGCTACCGAACGACTTATGTCCGGCCAGAATCGGACGTAGTGAAGTGGTGGTACAGGATGGAAAGATGGAGGGTTGTCTCGAAGCCCAACCGCGTAGACACATGGAATGGCCCGTCACACAAATCTGCATCCGCGTTGCGTCGTGGGAAGGAAACCCGGTCCAAATGTGTACAGGTTGGTGACTTGTCAGTGGTACGTTCTTGTGGCAATACACGCTCTGCCCTCGTCGTCTCTCGTTGTTTTCGCTATAATATGGGCTTTCGCAGGCTATTGTTGCATGTGAACTCGAAAGCAGTGAGATAGCCGTTATTTTAATCCTTATGGGTTACGAGTAGTATGCGTTAAATCTTTAAAACCAATGCATCCTAATATTCTCATCGTGTAACTGGTGGAAATCATGTTATGTATCGCATCTGCATGGAAGGAATGGTTACAAAGAAACTGGCTCAACTACCTCCAACGTGCGCTGACTGAATATCCAGCAGCAAGTACTATCGTGTAAAATATTCCAGAAAATTTATTGAAACAAAAGGCAGACGGAATTGGATATATCTCAGTAATCGAATCGCACGTGATTTTATCTACAACATCGGTAATCAAATGGAAATGTGTGTTTTGAAGTAGATCTGTTGTAGGAGGCGTCTGATGCAGCTTGACTACCTGAAGCCAGGTATACTGTGTTCGTTTGTTGAGGTGAATTGGGCTGTTTAACACCGATCAGTCGCCTGAAACATAGGGAGCGAGAAGAATTCACTTGAAATTGGCTGGGTTGTGAAAGTACTAAATAATGACAACGTTTTGCCTAAATCTTACCCCTGTTTAGCACTGGACTACCAGAATAGAAATGCCTCAGTTACTACGATGCAACCACCGGATGGTGGCCTTTTTGATAAGTACATCATGTTTTTGTGTTTGCATTTTACAGCGGATGACGATTGTGACCTAATGCCTATTTTCATGAAAACGTCTTACTGGAGTTGAACAGGACTGATGCCTATAAATTATTGTGACTAACAAAGAGAATGTTTTGAATCCTAGTTTCACGCCAATTACTACTTGTACTGAAGAGTTCGCGAAATGCTGACCCGCTTTATTAATTAATATGTTAACATCAATCAGAACATTTTATGCGAGTAAAGTCTATGTTGGATTAAGTAAAGTCTGTTGGTTAGAAGGATAACAAGATTAAAAATGCAACCAAAGATCTGCAAAATGTGAAAAGTTGGAGAGCTGGTCTCTGCTTTTTATCGAGTGCAACACAAGCATATGATGTAACTGTGTTTAAAAAGTTCCCGTGTCAGAGCGGAAGAATTTCAAATTTTATGATAATTCTATCAAACTAGGGAGTAGCTCAGGAGGGAAGAAAACAGCGTAGTCAGATGCATAGTAAACGAAGCGACAACAAACTTCATTTGGGCAACAAAGTTGAACCGAAGGTGTGAAAGTTTAAATGGTATGGAGTAGGTGGAAATTATCATGACATCTCAGTTGATAAACACAGTTTTTCCTAGTATGGTTTTCATCGCTCGGCACACACGTCTCATAAAACTGTAGTGTACGTAAGTGACCCGCTCCTAGTGGCGTCAGGGAGGCAATTGCTTCAAGTGAACTGGCAACACATAAACTGATTTGATGTGACAAGACGTCTATATCAGCATGATGGGAACTCATTCATGCATCGATATTACAGGTTCCTCATTTAGTAATCATTATCGATAAATGCATTTTACTTCTTGAGTCAACATAGCCGTTATGACTGATTATTTTCTAATCAATAAGTGATGAGGACAGGTGAGGTTGCTATGGCCACTCTCAGTTTTATGTAACGTTTCTAAGTGCAGCGCGAAAAAAGAATGTTTCTGCTCGGTTTCCGTCTATACACCGACCAAGTTGCTAACTCTGTTGTTTGTCTTATTCTTTTAGTTGCCTTGGATTACATACTTAATTGGCAAACGTTATTGACTCTAAACATGATTAAGAAAAGATAGTATATATTGATTTTTGGGGCATAGTTTGTTTATCATCTGAAGCGGATGCGGAGACAGTTTCATCTAGAGCACCGCCGATAATAGGGGGGATCAGGTTTGAGTTCCTACAATCAGTGGTTGAAACTGAAATATTGGTGAAGACACAAGACACAAGACACACAAGACAATTATATGTGAATCATGTAATTTGGTATCCTATCACATGGAGGGCAGGTGAATACTAGGCTGTACTCTAAACGATTAAAATGCTAAATTGTATTACTACTTTGATGTAAATCAGGTCAATCATTTCCGGCTGAGAAATAAAGCTAAGGACTACTGATCATTCGTGAAAAGTACACACATTCTGCCTTGGATTCGCATGATTTACGCAGCGTAGTTCGAATTTACTAAGCGCTGATTAAATAGGAAGATGGCAACCAATAAAGAAAAGTATGCGGAGGTACACACGAACCTTGTTTAATGAAATTAGCAGTATTCAAACCAACAATGCCGCAACTAGTTACATTTACCGTTGCCATCTCGTGGCATGAATTGTTTATAAAACGCTCATATTCATGTTCAAAGGCGGGTAATATCTCTGGCGTAGTTAACTAAATTCCTTTGTTAACGTATAAAACCAACCGGAATTGGTGCACAAATTGACAGCGCATGGCCAAATTATGATAGTACTCTTAGTAACATAAAAACGAGTGCTTCTAATGCATCGCATGTGTGAAAAAGTTGTATCAATCAGTTATTGAAATGATTCGCGAAAATGGAACGATTGCCACGGAATGCCACATGCATGGTTATAACTACTGGTAAATCATTACACATATAATTAATTGATGTTCCTCACTGCCAACTTCCAAGTCAGTCGTCCACATGCCCGGAAAAGCATTAGACTGCAGGTTCAGCCTATTGGACATCAGTAGTGAGCATCCATCGGATCCATGAGGATTCGAACCCATGAGCAGCATCGGCTTGCACCGCCAGTCATCAGCTTGTGTCACTGATTTCGTACTACTGATGATGTCGAACAGGCTTAAACTGCAGTTCAGTGTATTTCCAGGCATGTAGACGACTATCCGATTTGGAAGCTGGCTGCGAGGAACGTAACTTAATTGTATCAAAATACCCCACTCATGAGTACAAGAAAATATATCCGCCCCAACCATCGCTAAACGTTATGTCGTACATAGCTACCGTTAGTAGACGGCGAGCCCTTCTCTACAACCTTCGTAACTTGCGTAGCAGTAGATGATAAGACGCGCTATATCGTGGTTAGCTTGTAAATCATGATGGTCCGAAGCTGTACCGCGTGACTCAGTGGCATAAGCTGCTGACTGGCTGTGCAAGCCGCTGGTGCTCTTGGGTTCGAATCCTGATGGAGCTGTTGGATGGACACTACTGATGATGCCCAACAGGCTGAAACTGAAGTCTAGTGCTTTAACTGGCATGTGGACGAGTGTCGGACTTGGGAGCTGGCTGCGACGAACCTCAATTAATTATATCAAAACCCCCTACTCATGAGTACATTACACATACTTTGGCAAATTTGTACAAATTTTGCACTTAACTTGTGAGATAGTGAAGCATTGAACGCAGAATAGTTCGGAATCATACATAGACAATGGTTGTTCTGCTATTCGAAGGAACACTCAAGTCTGATATATAAACTTTCCATTATGTCCCCAAGTTTAGATAACTACAGCCAAGACTTTCCTGCTTATAGACAACTCCCGTGGTTAGGTTTTGTAATTTTCCTAGTAAGAATGATTCTTTATCAGCAGTTCGCATTTGCATGAATAATGAGGGATTACAGTTTAATCTCACTTTCCTGAAACTAACGCGTTTTTTTAACATTTTAATGTTTTGCATCTATCCCACAACAACCTAGCGCAAACACACCGAAGAAGAGCGGACGTATCGAGCTGAACAGGTTTAAGCGAAGCAACTCTACGTAGCGCAACGCAGTGGGCGAATCGACAGAATAAAACGTTTAATCACGATGAGAAGTTTTAATTCGCTTACTCGGCAAGTGAATGGAATAATTCATCCACATTGGCTCCCGACTTTGCGCTCGTTTCCCAATATAAGACTCCGGAATCCTTCAGTGGAAATTAAAAAGAACAAATCTAGAAAATCACTGTCACAATCTCAGTTTTTCACATTTAGGAAACTATCAGCGTGAACGCTGCTATTTTTTTGGGTGTTGAAATCGTTCAAGAAGCAACGCGTCACCTAAGACTACCCTGGCTTTTCATCCGATTAAAATGATAGCATTTCATCCAGCTTAACTGATGGAAAACGGTTTATCTACGACTTTAGACAATTTTACAAATGAGGGACATTTCGGTACGAAAGAGAATTACTCCTCGGTTCCTTTTGGTCACCATTTACATTGGTTGGTAATGATGCACTCTAAACAGCTCTACCGTCTTTAAGACATTCGCATAGCACAACAATGGCAAACAGCCAAACATTAGTGGTCAATAGGGGAACAGATTCACTTTGCAAGATGAATCAAATTCTCGGTTGAATATGTACCGCATTACGTGACAGGTCAACGTTTTTAACTGTAAACCTGACACAGAATAAAGGTGTAAGAAAATCCCGTTCAGCCATTTGGTGCCAGAGGATTCAAATTAGGTTCGTCAACAACCAAAATAATATGCCACATCTTGGTGCATTGCGCTTAATGGGGGCGATATTTGCATGGCGCCCTCACTGATAACCTGGAGTTTTGAGACTGAAGTATACAGAAAGAATGCGAACGAAATTTTGTGCTTGGCTAATGAGGATTTGCCTACATATATTTACAGGCTTTTGTCTTGAGTGACCACTGGCAGGAAGCTCCCCACCTATTTTTGTTCGCTGTCATATAAAAGTAGCATTTTTTTAATAGCTGCTATGATGATATTTCAAGCATGCGGCTGAAAGTCAAACAGGCCCCGAAAGTGAGAGCATTCCGAGTAAAACAACCTGGCCTTTTTCATCAAGTAGTGTAGTCAGACATTGGATTACAAAATAACTAGCTCTAAAAATGTTCTCTGCTCTCACCTACTTTATATGTCTAAGATTTGCTGTCCGAAACACAGTCCTTTATACCCTAGAAGCACGGTGAGTCGTCCCCAAGGTATTAGTTTAAATATTCACAGACAACACTCAGTGCCAAATAATCACACTCTATCAGCTTACTAAGATAACTTAAAATAATGAATGATTTAATGGATGAGTAGGTACGGTAACTTGTCTGGCTAGTCCGGATGACCATTGTATTTCTCCAAGCTCCGACATCCAAGTAGGTCACATCAGAATTTTCATGGTCCAGGGGTTTTGAAAAAACCTTACCTTAGCGACACGCTCACCATCCTTTTTACTGACTCGGCGGTGTCGTTCTTCGTCCGACTTGTTTCCCACCAGAACAATTATCGTATTAGACAAAATATTGGAGTTAATTTCGTCCAGCCATGACTGAAATAAAGTAAGAAACACAATATACCATAACGCAGTACGGCTAACAGTGAATGAAATTCTACCAACCTCACGAGAAACCTCACTTTCAGTCCCCTTTAATGTACGTTTTCTGCTGCACTTTTTTGTACCGTAGGACTAGAAAAACCCGCATAAATCCAAGAATGTCATTGTCTATCTAGGAAAGCACATTATTCAGATTGTGATGATAAAATAGTTAAGCATTCTGAGCCACACATCGATACAATAACAACCGATCGCCACTGGTGTTCTGATTATGGTGCCTAAAACAACCCATTCACGGGACACTGTCTTCCTAAACATATGATGTAATGCACTGGACATATTCAGGAATTTTGTCAAAGCAAGTTAGGTCAAAACAAAGTGAACTCATATCAAATCTTTGTCATTTATGCATACCATAGCGTTAGTACTTTTTACATTTAGCTGGCGAAAATTACGCCTCCGTGACGGTTAAGACGATTGTTCGAAGCCCATTGTCGCAAGTGATATCATTTGGTGCGGTAACGGATTTAACACACAAACTATGAACATGTGAATTTCTTTCTGTGCCAACCGACAGCAATTTGTAGTGCGACCATGGCTTGCATCAGAACAAAACAACGTTCGCATCCCAGAGCAAATATGTGCATCGATCGTACTTGCATGCATAGGATTGTCTGTTTTGCGATGTGTTTTAATCTTGTTATTTTGTAGGGCTCTCACTTTACCGTAAATGCTTGGGTTTCGCTATACAAAAAAGAATCATGAGGTCCCACTGAGTCACGAGTTATCATGATAACTTCAAGCGAGTAAAATATTCACTGGGATCAAGTGACTGTCATTTAACTGCACTTATTTTTAATAGCATCCGTTTCCCACAAATTGATTCTTTGGTGCACCTATGCATGTATTCTGACACATCAGATTTATTGATCTCCTGTAGTCTTTCTAGGTATACTGGACTAGCATCCACCGGACAAAAGGGCAAAGCGATATACCCCCACAATCGCGCTAACGACTTGTCGGTCATACCATATCTGGCTAGATCACTGCCTGAACAGAACATTATCATACGAATACACACCAGCATGTTTTGTCATAGAGGTTTTGTTATCCATTGGACCGTTTATCTTTTGCCGCTGTTACCGCTACCGTGACTGGCAACAGTCGAGTTGCGGGTTCGAGCCCTACCAGGGATGAAACGCGCGTACAGTGCTTTTTCGGTCGTGTGGCTGCTGTCTGAGTGAGTCTAGATGTGACGAATTTCTACCTATTAGAGATGTGTCATATCTGTAATTTCAGCCATCGTGGTCGCATGAAATGCGCATTCTTGAATTGAATTTTCACCTTAACCGATCCTCTTCCTTGTCTCCAGATTACTAATAATGGCGACGCGATGCAGTCACTCAAGTGTTCGCAAACTGTGTAGAGCATTTTTCTGTTACTTCACGGTTAAGAGAATGTGTATAGAAAGAACAGAACATTATTCGTGCTACTGAGTTTACTTTCCAAATAATCGCTCGTAGTCACAATTTTTGGCTTCATAATTTATTAAATGGAGGTAGCTAAACAATATACGATTCACGATGGAAGTGGCACACATAGCTAAAATATTTCCATAAACCTTGTTACGCAGAACCTCCAACTCTTGCTGAATGACGAGCGAGTATTGCTCTCCCACAGACCGTATATGAGTTAGTTTTGCACGATAGTACTGTGGAAATAAAGAGAGCAGTTCACGCGCACCTGCATAGATCAAATGTAAATGGTTAATCGTTCGTGGTGGAATAACACCTGTACCACAATATTAAGCATATCTACAATAAAGATAGAATGTAATGAGATGACAAAACCTCTTCTATGAGACGTTAAAATAATAATGACAAACTTTACACATTATTGTATGTCGCATCCTTGAAGTATCAAAACCAGCAAATTCGTATAGAAAAATGTTTGAAGTGTACTGATCAGGAACTTAAGAGAAACGGTTAGTTGCTGATTGAACGATGAGAAAAAATTACCTTTTTGGTTTTTGTTATCACATTGGCTCTTACAATTAGAGTGAACGATTCTTCCATTTTTGGTGGTTGAAACTTAAAACTTAAGGTAATCCTGGGAAAAATGCAATGGAACCTGACGATTTCTGCAATATATGCTGAGGTAACCTTCAAATGTTATTACACTGTACTCCTAGAACTTCACTGCTTATGGCTTGTGCAAGTCTTGTGACATTTTCGTAAAGTGTCTACGATAACCGACCGACTTGCTTTTTTATGTGGGAGTAAAGCTGCGCTCGGTACTAAACGAGATCTGCGAAGCCAGGCATCTGCGATAATTCAGCACCTCTTGCAGGCGCTTTTCTGTTTCTGGAAAGCCAGCAATCTGGTGTTGCCTGGAAGCAGCGTAATATCGCCCTGCAGGCTGCAACTCGTTACTAAACTAGACTCTCGAATCACTCGACTACCCACAGGTAGTGGTGACTAAGATGATAAATCAGAGAAAAAAACTTCCCCCTTTTCGAACTTTTGGAATATACTTGGATTCGATTGAGGAGTCATGATTTCTGAGAGATTGGCGAACAATCGGTTAGTTTATTTTGTTAGTAACGTTGGCTTTTGACACAAAAGCTTCGTCAGGCCAGGTGAAGGACCCCTTTCGCACAGACAAGTTGACGAACTGAGAGTACAAAATCAACTGCAAAAACTGTGCACACATATACATTGGTCAAATATCGAGAGATCTACGGACAAGGAGCTTAGGACATAAAAGACGCATTTTGCAACCGCCGAGGAATGAGCTTGAATACAGAACTCTACTAATAGACTTTACGATAGCTGTACAAGCGCTAACTACCGGGCATCAGATCGATTTGGATAACAGTGAGATTGTTAGAATGGGTTTACGAGCGAAGCCCCAAAGGTGAATTGCCGAGGCAATCGAAATCGCTAAAGCTGGTAGCTGCGTGAATAGAACAGAGGGGTTGGAGAGCAATGTTAACTCGGTCAGTCTGACGAGTGCCGATACGCGGGTCAGCTTGAATAGCAAAATATGACGTTATCATCCTCTTCAATAAAGCGTCAATTGACGAAATGACGGAGAGTGGAATCCTGACAATTGGCCCCATTCTGATTGACTACTTGAGATAATTTTTTCATCTGTGTCTGTAATAGCCTCTTTATCCTTATCTCAGTTGTAACAATTATCTCTCTCACCCACTGCAAAAAGCCGTACCAACTATGTACAAATTCACTTGACCTGACGAAGCATTGTGTTAAAAGCGAAACATTGCCACTCAAAAAACTAACCGATTGTTCACAACTCTCAGAAATGATAACTAACTCATTTCTTCATTTCAGCGCTGAACAATGAGGATGGCCTGGTTGGTCGAAATACCAACCAACCAAAAGCCAGCAAATTTTGTTTAGTTTTGGTTTACCTTATCAAAAGATTGTGTAATTATAACGAACAGGCATAGCTTACTTTGGTGTGCGCAAGTGTGTCTTCTCTCGTGATGTCGTAAACCAAAATTACAGCTGTGAGAAAGTTGAAAATCTGTAAGAAATCGATGAAGAAAAGTTCACCAACCATGCGAGTCTCTATAGTAGGTTTTTGTCAGACTTCGGAATTTCTCTTGACCGGCCGTGTCCCAAATTTGAAGCCGTACAGGCAAACCATTTACGGTGACGATTCTAGTCTAAATGCCAAATATAAGCCTTGAAAGAGTGCGGCACACTTTATAATCAATTCCAATTGTTGCAATGTAGCTTCCTCGAAGAAATACGCGATCTTTAAAACGGATTAGAAGAGATGTCTTGCCGACGCATGAGTCTCCAACAAGCAGAAGCTGCATTTATGTGAGAAGCAATATTTGAGATGATAACTGAGAAAATATAGCCTCAATCCCAAAGTAGTGTTCTATTGAGAAAACTGATGGAAAATATGTAGGTAATGGTAAATAACAGGTGAACTGCTGCACCGCAAGAAAATTGTGAAACGCAAATGAATGTAGAGGAACCAAAATAGACCTAGTGCCTCCTACGTGGTTAGGTGGTAAGAATCAAGATAAGCAAACGGCATCAACATTTTTATGTCTTCTTGGCAAAAACATAGCAAAACACAGTGTTGCAAAGAGATCTCTTTTCGGCAGTTCACATCAGGCAAATACAACTACAGGACTGACAAATGCATTAGTAAACTGGTGTAAGCAACAATGAGGACGGATGGGGCGATTTGAACAGTTTTAGCATGTTCATTTGATGCTCGAATCGATTTGATCAGGTGACATCGTGATCGGGCTAACTGACAGCTAAATAACTTGTGTAAACAGAAAAGGCAAAATTACTAACCAAATAAAATTAGTTAATTACGCAAATAAATAGCACCCGGTTAAGCGAGATACTCCGGGGAACCTTATCATCAGGGCCATGGCAAAGTCAAGGGTTGCACAAGCACCCTATGCTTGCATAGCTCTGGTTGTGTTAGCCGGATCGCGATGGCTTCGGCTGTCTGCAGGAGGCGTTTCCTTAGCCCTTTCGGGTATCGCCTCGGTACGGCGTAATAGACTTTGAAAGCATCTTTTGTCAAAATCTGATGCCCACTAAGAATCAGATGTTCCATAATCGAGCTGTTGATACTTCTGTGCATGCCTCTCCGCAATGACCCTGGACAATGTTCTGCCATCCGTACCGACAGACGCCTGGTCGTATGCCCGAGGTACTTTGCACCACAGGTGCAAGTAAATTGGTAAACAATGTCAGATTCGGACGACACTGGCAGTCTGTCTTTAAGACGTTGAGCTATGAAGGGAGCGGTCTGTGCAACTACGTGCGGTTGGGCGGCCGGGTAGGTTCTTGCTACGGCATTAGAAAGTCTTCTGTTCAGGAGATCGAAGGCAATATCTCCCTTAAAAGGAACAGTGAGAAACACATCCTTCTTCGGAACCGTTGCTACGGGCTTATCACGCTCACGGGTCATGGCATGCTTTTTGATGAAAGGCTCTGGGTATCCATTCGCAAGAAGTGTTTTCACAATTCGGTCCTTCTCATCCTCGAGAGTTTCGGGACTACAAATTTTGGTGGCCCGGTAATTCAAGCAACGTACTAAGTTGCGTTTGTACCTCAGAGGGACAAAGCTCGAAAAGTGAGTGTACTGTCCTACCCATGTAGCTTTGCGGAAGACTCTACGATCCAATGATCCGTCCTCGCGCCTCCTCAACAAAACGTCCAGAAAAGCCGGCTTACCTTCATTCTCCATTTCACTAGTGAATTTTATTAAGGGGTGTGCATTGTTGAACTGGTCGAGCAAATAGTTGACATCAATGTGCGAATCACAGATGATGAAAGTGTCATCCATATACCTCCAGTAAGAATCAAATGAGGCAATAACCGTTTGGATTGGACCACGCTCAAGCTTTGCGAGAAAGATGTCGGCAAGAAGAGGTCCAAGGGGGGACCCCATGGCCACGCCATCGATTTGCCTGTAATAGATTCCGTCAAACAGGAACTGTCTATTAAAGGTACACCGCAAGATTAACTCCTTGAGCTTAGGCACCGGAATGCCAATGTGTAGGTTCCTTTCCGTTATATACTCACAGATGAAATTAACCGTTTCAAACAAAGTACCTCGGGCATACGACCAGGCGTCTGTCGGTACGGATGGCAGAACATTGTCCAGGGTCATTGCGGAGAGGCATGCACAGAAGTATCAACAGCTCGATTATGGAACATCTGATTCTTAGTGGGCATCAGATTTTGACAAAAGATGCTTTCAAAGTCTATTACGCCGTACCGAGGCGATACCCGAAAGGGCTAAGGAAACGCCTCCTGCAGACAGCCGAAGCCATCGCGATCCGGCTAACACAACCAGAGCTATGCAAGCATAGGGTGCTTGTGCAACCCTTGACTTTGCCATGGCCCTGATGATAAGGTTCCCCGGAGTATCTCGCTTAACCGGGTGCTATTTATTTGCGTAATTAACTAATTTTATTTGGTTAGTAATTTTGCCTTTTCTGTTTACACAAGTTATTTAGCTGTCAGTTAGCCCGATCACGATGTCACCTGATCAAATCGATTCGAGCATCAAATGAACATGCTAAAACTGTTCAAATCGCCCCATCCGTCCTCATTGTTGCTTACACCAGTTTACTAATGCATTTGTCAGTCCTGTAGTTGTATTTGCCTGATGTGAACTGCCGAAAAGAGATCTCTTTGCAACACTGTGTTTTACTCTTCCATGGGCATTATTTAAAAACATAGCAACCTCTTAAAATTTGGAAATACAAACACAGCATTCACTCGGCGTTGTGTCCAGATTAAGAGAAGTGATACAGCTGTGTGATTAAACCTATGATCGTAATCTAGGATGTACAATCCTCTGCATGTGTGGCGTTTTAGTTCCGGACGTAAGTCACTTCTTTTTAACAAGTTCCGCAAAACCCCAACGTCTGATGTAAACAAAAACTAGCCCGGGTGAAAACGCATCATACCCACTGATGTGCCTCATTATGTATGCGTTGGGCCGTCAAACGCGACAAATCTCGAGCAAACTCCACCCGACTAAAAGACCAAAGTACAAGTGGAAATGGCTGCAAATTGCAATGCAGCGCTTCAGTATGACTTTAAAGCCTGATTTTGTTTACCAGCTGGCTGGACTTAAGTCATACCTAGGATAACTTTTTTATGGTCCGGTTCTGCAACGACCACATCATTAAACCAGCTATTTAGGATGAAAGTAATGATATGGCAGTACTTTGTTGTAGTTAACTTTTGAATCATGACGGTCTGAAGTCCTCATGGTGGTCTGATAGCATAGTGAGCCGGTGCAGGGTCGTGAGTTCTGTTCCTGACGGAACCGTGGGATGCTCAATACCGGTTAGTCCTGATAGGACAGAATATGCTTCTCGATGTGCTCGAGTTGCGCGCGACAAATTCTTTCATACATTAAACGGAACTCCATTACTCACAAGTGACAAAACTCCAGAGTGTAAGTACTCCGTTCATTCTTAACGAGACGTCAAGTTGTTAAGTTGCGCTTTGCAAAAAATAGAGTATCTTTGATCGATACCTTGTCACAAATAATAATATCTTCAACTGGTATACATGTGCACAGCCAGCATGAAATGTGGCTGAGAAGATCACACACACGATAGATATGGGGTCACTTGCTCAACTGTGTTTAGGTTCTTGAAGAAAACTTTCATGATCCACAGTGTGCTCCTAACCAAAAACGCTTCAAGTAAGCTGCATATATCCGCCAGTCGTAATTTCCTGCGATGCCTAATTAACCACGCATGCTTTTAAATAGTACTTTTGGGTACAGAATTGGTTGTGAAATCGCAAGGTAGTGGCACCCTTAGGGCCAACCCTGCCCTCTGTACCTTCACAACATTCATGAGAGTGGAATATAAGCCGCAGTATATCGCAGTTAGACATCAGTCATGGCGATCCGACACCGTCACTCATGGCTCAATGGCATCAGTCGCTGGCTCGTAAGAGTAAGACCCTGAATTCACGTTACTGACAAGCTCCAATATGAACGAACGGTTGTCCAGCGCTTTACTGGCTCGGTCTAACTGGGGCCAATCTTCTCAAAGTCACAAGAAATCCTCCTACTACACACCAATGGTTGTGAAATTGCGTGCAGTCGTGAATAAGTATAAGAAGTAAACGCAGATAAATTTGACCAAGTGCTAATTAATATGCATGGCCATAGAACTTTCAGTTCGCGATTAAAAATTTCGATGCATCCTGCAACAAATGGTCTGTGTAAGCATATTTCTGACAACACTGTTTACTTAGTTTTACTGCTACTCAAGCTATTCGCAACCTAACTGCGCAAACATATAGATATGTGGTGTCAGGGTTTCAGGATGATATATGCACCCTACATACAGTCAAAATCTTCGCTTATTTGGTCTACTTTTACTCGATTAGTAGTGGTAGGCGGTCGGTTGGCATATAAAGATTATTGTACAAAGGAAGAATGTTGAAATAGACGCTCTGATGTGAGGCCTGAAGTCTAAAGCTATCAGTTTATACTCTGGCACTGAGTAGTCTCAGTAATCTAAAGCGATTAGTATAAGATTGTCCTATAATTTTCCCTACCTAGAGTAGTTCCATAACACTAGACCTTCCACAAGTCGTTTACAATGCAAAAGAATTTATGTGCTCTAACAGGGCTTCCCATAAAAGTTTTGCAAATGCCAGATCTCCACAACTTGGAAAATCCACTAAGTCACATGGACTGAGAAATCAATCGGACAAGCCGATTAATCCATTGACCGACGCGCTTACCTAATTCAAGTCAGTCCAAAATGAGCTAGATGGACTAAAAATAAACCTAGTACCCTTTATTATTTGAAGAAAAACCTAAAACAGCTCGAAAATTTCAGAGTCTTACTGTAACCGAAAGCAAGTTCAAACACAGTGTCCTCATTGAAGCTGTTGTAATGGTTGTTTAATGTACGGTGTTTAATGTACGATGTTCGAAATATGCAGCAACATTCAATTTGCCTAATTAACCCGCAGTATCAACACTGCAAAAAGCCGGCTCAAAGCATGTAATATGGAAGGCACTCGATGCAACTGTGTAAGTCTCCGAAAGCAAGTTCGGCGACAGAACTGCCTCGTAGTTGCAAATTTGGTATTACATTGGCAGCAAATGAGTTTAACAAAAAACGCAGGCATCAGAAAACACTACCATCAAAACACCGAGAATAGCGATTGCAAGAGCGCCTCTGCAACAGAAAGTTCAGCAAAACAAGCTATTGCCGACTTCAAACGACTGTCAGAATAGTGATTCCGACATAATCAGCAACTAAACTGCGGATATTTTACCCTCACTGCA